TAGTGTCGCACAGGGTTTTAAGATATTGGGCCACTAAACAATAACACAAGGAACATCTGTATCGTCACAACATGTGGGTAGATGAGAGTAGGGTAATACTCTCACGACGTGAGTTGATGAAAAGGCAGGCGATGATTCTCGTGGTGATTAAAACGTGATGTATTATTGAATTTTGGCGTATGATTTTGCAGTAAATTACGTGTAGTGATTTGCTGAGTTTGTTTATTAGTCATATATAACTTTGATGTTACACACATTGTTGACAGCTTTCATTGTCGTTGAAGTATTACAGAGTTATAAACTCGACTAAAAATACATTCATGAATAATCTTGTTAAATGTTTTTTAAGCAATGTAAGTATAGTTATGTGCATAATAGTAATCAAGTCATACAATACCAGTAGCAGATGCGAATGTAACAGTTATGTTTAAAATTCAGGCAACTTATAAGAATGTTATTGCTATTCTCAGCACATTTTACATGGAAATTCTTGAAACGTATTATATTACATGTTCAGTACGTGCATGTTGCACCGTTTTGTCATTGGTGAGAGTTGTATGGGTAATACCTTCAGCAGTGTGTGCTGAGTATGCAGGAATGCACAATGCTCCCCCCTGGTATGGGTGTCTGGTCACCATGGTTTGAGTGTGTGGAGGGTGATGCAGATGGTATGATGTCACGATGGCATTCTGTGCTAGGCGAGTTTTCCCAAAAGAATGTGGTCAGTCTCAGGACATCACGTCATTCCCCCAACAACAGTGCTTGACTATTATACGGCGATTACTCACCGCCAGCTCACAGTTTTCTGACCGTTACTTTGCTCATGCCCGCCTGCAAGCACAGGAAGGGCCATACACTCCAACACGGCACAAATGGAGAGTGTGTATTGAAAGAACGAAAAGTGTAAAATCACTAGAAGCCTTAGAGGACTGCAGGTCCTTTCACCATGGGAGAGCCGTAAGCCGACCACTCTCGGTCTGTGTCAGGTTGACTACTACCAATTTCATGTTTGAGACAACAAGCACCAGTTTCCCTTTGCAGTGATGGAGGGGAGGTGGGTTGAGGGTCAGTGGATAGAAATGACATAGGCTTGGCAGGACACTTTTCAACATTTACCGTCAATGTTATGTTTCTTACCTTGTCCTTTAGCTTCACTAGCCTTTTATTCGGTACCACGAGAAGCTATGTTTGGCACATTCATTGCCAGGACTAATTCCTATACAAACTGCCGAGAGCTTTATCCTTGCTTTTGCAATTTACTTCTGGCCAAAAGACAATTAGGCTTAACTTGAATTTGTATTCCAAACTAGTACCTGGTAGCAGAGTTTTCACACTTGGTATGAGTTTTTGGCATCACACTCCACAGGAGGTGAATTACTTGGTTCACCGATAATAGGGATTGTATATTTTGTTTTATTGTATAGCAGGAGACCTCTAGAATGATATAATTTAAGGCGAATTCTGGTTTTACAATTAAAACCAATCAACCTCTGGGCGATGATCTTTGGAGACCCGACATTAAATATGTTCGGTTTTCAGATTTTTCTAAATAATAATTACAGCCACAACCGTATTTGTGTAAAATGTCCATCTATCTGGCCCTTGCAAAAATTTATTACCCATTACTTCATTCACTTGGTCACAAACATGAAGCGCAATAACTCTTTATTACTTGACTCGCACTGTTTGTTGCTGGCTGCTTGGCAATATGGGCCTTTGGACCTGTGCTCAGCAAGCGTGATATTAAACAAACAAATCATCTGTACCCCATACATACGGTACTGCCATCGCGACAGCTCCTAGTCCTGTACTCGTTCTCCTGCATGAGAAAGGCGACACAAATGACTACTTCACGGAAGCTGCTCGTGTATTTCATTTTGTACCCATACTCTTTGGTTCTATTCGGTAAAGTCATGTAGGTAAAAATAAAATAACAAAAAATCACGACGTTTCGGCCACAACACAAGTGGCCTTCATCAGGTGAAGGGACTGGACTGTCCAGAGGACAGCGTTGGAGTGAAGACAGCAAGCCCAGGTCACGTCCTTTAGGCTGGGCTTGCTGTCTTCACTCCAACGCTGTCCTCTGGACAGTCCAGTCCCTTCACCTGATGAAGGCCACTTGTGTTGTGGCCGAAACGTCGTGATTTTTTGTTATTTTATTTTTACCTACTTGACTTTACCGAATAGAACCAAAGAGCATGGATCCTTGCAGTCACGAAAGCTTCAAATCTAGAATATTTCATTTTGCTTCGCAGGTGCGTGCTCGATACATTAAAAAGCAATGGAGAAGTCTCACCGTGAAGGTAGCGTAATGACACAGTCTCAAGTTCCTTCAGAGCTCAGTGTAGTGTGCTAACGGAGTAATGACCTGTTGAGAAATCCTCCATGTTGCCATACCAAGAGGGGTACATCCTAAGTGCAATACGTGAATCTGTACCTCGTAATCAACGTGGATGCAAGGTTTTCTGGTTTGTACTTAGGTGAAGGAGATGTAACACAGTGAAGGTCAGTTTAACACGTAGGCTTTCGCGACCAATATTATTCATAATAAAGGTTTTTGGGTTAGATCGCGTTATTTATAAATGTGTCGTAACCCTCCACCACCCGACACGGCCAATCAGCAAAATAAAGTGTCACGTTGACAAAAGACAATTAGTTCACTACTTTAGCCCACCGGTGTGTTGAAGAGCGAATCCACAACATTTACAGTGAAGGTGTTACCCATAGAATAACAGGGTTTTCTTTTGTACGAGCATTGCATTAGGCAGCGCTCTTTAATAATGTTCCGAGGGGGGCCATTTTCGCCGATAAGAAATCATCAGTGTGAGGGCCACCGCACATTTGAAACCATTGGGTTTAAAAGCACGATGATGTGCGGTGTTGTCACGTGTTGTGTATTGTCGGGCGCTGCACGTCAGGGGCCATACTAAAGGCCACCAGGGGCCGCCAGTGGCCCGCGGGCCTTGCAATGAAGAACACTTACGTAAGGGGACAAATAGGTTAGTTGGTTCAAAAGCTAACGTCACTTGACTGTGGTGATAACGTATTCCGAGAAAGTAGGTAAACGGGCCTCATTGCAGTTTTGGGTTGCTTCTGAAAAAGAGCTATATGGCGCAGTGGGCCTTGCCTGGTAAAATAAATGAAAAAATGCTAAAGTCACTGTTGGTAGAAGAGGACGCTCTGGAGAGCCCCAGTTAGAAGTATAATGGCCTACTCTTCAAAACGCATTTGTTTCTGACCTGCACACGTCTTTTTTTCTTTCTGATCATTCAACTGTCTGCTCAGTTACATCGTTTATAGAGAAACACAGGTGTTGGCATACTATAACACTGGCAGCATCTGGTCAGGAGACCAGAACGGAAAGAGAGAGGGTGGTAAAATTGTGTCGTTGAGGTGTTATTTTGCGAATTTCAGAAACAGAACCGACGTGATCGTTTCAAATGTTTGCCTTGAGTTTGTTATTTTAGGGAAGTACGTCAAGGAGGCCCTGTTTATCAAACAGCATTGACTAATTTTATTTATGAGTAACCCTTGTTCCTCCAACACCATCTTTGAATCTATCTGCATGTATGTATGGACCTGTCTGCCTTTCTCAACCATCTGCTTTGCTCACTTGAAAATCTTGCAATTTTCTTTTTGTGTGGGAAACTAGTCGACAATAATATAACAATATACTTGGCCCCTAGCAAATCCCTAATGTGAATCACCACATGTGTTTTTCCAGAAAGCTTGGCTGGTATTAATCCACAAGAGGGCTGTACTCAGGGTGTACCCAACAGTCTAGTCCAGTGTGGTACTGCCACATTGAGCCGTGCTTTGGAGCCATAGATAGAATTGGCTTCGCCTAAAATAGTGATGATTTCAGTGAGAGTGACCCTGTCCATAATAGAGGTAAATAAATGTGTCGTTAAACCCACCACCACCCGACACAGCCAATTAGTAAGGTTTGTCACTTAAACAAAACATGTCAATTTGGTACTAGTTCAAGACACCGGTGTGTTGGAGAGTGAACGCGATCTAACCCAAAAACCTCTATTATGGATGATATTGGTCGCGAAAGCCTACGTGTTAAACTGAACCCACAACATTTACAATTCGAGTATGACGTTTCACTGGTAATTACAAGCGGCCTCATCAGGCTACAGCCAGATTTGACCCTGTTTTTACAGTTGCTGGTATTGTTAATTTACAGAGTTACATTGAGGTGAGGTCAAAAGCACACTTTTGGCTAAGGTATAAATATATAACAAAAACCTGTCAGCAAAAACAAATGGAGTCTCAATTTCATTGAGCACAATTTTTAGATGCAATATTGTTTCTCTATAAAGTTGACTTTTGAGGATGTAAAGGTCACTGAAACTGAGGTGGACATAGCCTCTTCAACTAGCTAAGATGTGCATTATACTATTGTATTCAAAAGTATGGTCAGTTTACATGCTGGCACACTCATGTAATTCAGTGCATTGGAAGCAATGGTTGGTAGATCAAGTAGTTTCACGAAATGTACACACGCAATGGGTTGCAAGGTTGGAAGGGAGTGGTTGGAGATTTTGGAGAGGGGAGGGCAGTAGAGTGAAATGAGAATGGTGAGGTAGTGGAGTGCGTGTAAGGGAGTAGAGCTAGATGAGACGGGAGAGGTAGGAGAGTGTGTGGAAGGGAGTAGAGTGAAATGAGAGGGGAGAGGTAGGAGAGTGCGTGGAAAGGAGGAGAGAGGAGAGAGGGTCTTGAAAACCGTGAGTGCGATCTTCAAATTGATTTGGGATTGTATTTGGAGCCAGTGGAGTTATTGGAGTACCGTATTGTGAAGTGGCACTGCTTACTTCGTATGAATACTCATGCTCTCCTGCTTGTTACTGGAGACGTAAACCCAATGTATTGCAGTACAGTGTGTTGTAGCATTAAGCTATGACCATAAACCCTATTTCTAATTATCACCACTTTCATACCGCCCCCACCCATGACTCGCCCCCTTCCCCCCCCCCCAATTAACACTCTGCTCGTTTGTGAGATATGATTATGTTTATGAACGCACCTGCGCACACTGTCATAGTATATACCGCTCCAAATGTCTCTGAGAGCCAGGAAAAATAATGTGTCTCTCGTGATCTTGATGCTGTGAACATTTCCATGTCAACCGAAAGGCAGGTGCATTTAATACTGGACACACACTTTGCAATGATCGACTGATCGTCACGTTTGTAATTGAGTATACATATTTTGTCTACTTTTTTAACGAGGGAGAAATACTCATGAAACACTGTGGTGCTGGAAGTACGCAGTCAGACTATTCCACCCACTCTGGGATGGTGACGGCGCATACGTCATGTGTCTAAAACCATTGGCTCATGCGTCTAAAACCATTGGTTCATGCCATATACTATAAGCCATTTTTTTCAATCTGTAGATATTTACCTTTGAAAAAAACACCCAGTATATATTATGATGATGATGATGACGAAAATTGTAAAATGTTGACTGTGAAGTTGCCAAGTTTGCGGAACCTGCTCTCCCAAGTGTTGTATTGAAGCCCAGTATACAGGGGTGCAGGCACAGCCACGGAATGCCACACAATGCGTTTTCCTGGGTGTAGGCAAAGGGTTTGTGTGCTTACTATCTACGGAGCAGGGTAAGGTCGAGCGGTGAATAAAGGACGGAAGTGCTGATAAATATATCCCCGTTTGTAATCATGCTTTCACAGAATATCACAATTTCTGCGAAATGTGCTTTTCAGTGTAACATTTTCGGGGACCCCCCCCCGTGAATCTAACCTGAAAGACTATTCTGGTAACGTGTGTGTTTAACCTTTAGTTCAGCACGAGCTAAAAATGTTTACTCTCATAATTTAGCACTTTGATGTACTGTGGGAGAAAATAATATAATCAAATGTTAAACTGCTGTTGCAGTATGTGTGCTAGATTGGAGTGCTTTGCCTGAAAGCTAGGGTAAAAAAAGCAGTGTATATATCGACCATTGCCAGCATGGATGATATAAACCATGATTACATGGCTTACCTGAAAATGTTAACACTGTGGCTACAACCATTATGCAAAGCGTACACAAAAATCCAGTCATCTCCATGAGGTGTTACTGATTAGCTAGCCAAAGTAAATTCATTATTTAGTCACTTCTAAATGTTTTCATCATATACAGCAACCAAAAAATAAAATAATAAATTGGCATACAAAGCAGGCTGTCACCAGTACAAATATGATATACTATCCACGAATTTAAGTACATCGAGCTAACTTTCTACTGATATTTTTATTATATTTGTGTTGTTTTCCTATTTCGTTGTAATGCACGTTATGTCTACCACACTATGTCCAGTGTGTGACTTTAAAGTTCCAAGGAGATAGATTGTTTCAGAAAAATCCATATTTTACTCAAAAACAGCATTTCTAGTGTTCTTATTTGTGTGTGAAAGAAGTATAACACAGGCAACCTTACTCAGAGTTAATTTGATTTAACTTATATGCACTGCTGGGGCTAAAATGCATGTGCTGGATAAGTGGAGACCTGCATGGCCGTTGTCCTCGTAAATAATCCTATTTAAGTGAACATCCATTTGAGTAGCAGCTAGAAGACAGTTATTTCTGCAGTGAAGAGTGGCGTACAGTGGTCATATTTTAAGATAAGCCCTCGCAGCTATGAAATGGTGTCACAACAGGTTGGGATGCTGAGGAGTGATGATGATGATGATGTGTGCGCTGCTTTCAGCAGGTGTGTGCTTCCCCCACCTGCCAATGCCATCGCGTACACCGCACCAGGAACCCTTTCATGGCTCAGTCGAATTTCCAGACCAGCATGTAGTGTGCTTTCATGAGAGATATGTCTATGCATTATATATTAATGTATATACAGGAATAGTAAATGTAGTTCGTAGAAAGGCCTTATAGAATTAATGGAAAAATGCATTTTCAGGTATGTACTATTCGCATAAAAAACAATTTCTTCATAACCATACATAAATAATTCAGCATTATATTGCGATGTAGTGTTTTTTTCTGCCGTAATTAAGGATATGCAAAGTGGAAATGTATAACAAAAATAAACTGCCACGAAGTTTTCTACGTTCGTGTGACACTAATAATTTGCACTTCGGCAAATGTATTCAACATTGTACCCTGTATTTATTCTTTCCATGTATTTAACCCAGATCTCTGCTACATAAGTGTTTTTTTTTTCTGAATGGATTCCCACGTGGTTATTCATACTCTGCTCACCCGTCTATATACGTCCGTCCACTACAGTCCCATGTTCACAGTAATCTACACAATATTAGTACATTAACTGCACGTTAAACGGAGGGAGTGGGAATGTGTTCCTCATGTGCACTCACGACGCAAAAAGGAAGGCCAACGCTTGGTGTTTTCCCATGGTTATTTTGCCAAGCGTGCAATAAACCAACCCACGGCATTAGATGGCCACTCCCGATTGGCCGGCCGGTGGCACATGCATAAGATAAGAGGTGAGCCACCCGGCCTAGGGTAGTTCACTCCTGAAGCACTTTTGAGCAATGTTTACACTCGCCCCGTTATCCGCTCCATCGCTCCTAAGTGAGTGACTACAAGGCACTAACATGCCTGCAAGATACCGCAAGGCCAGGGACAGCAGCATCGTTATGAAGTAGCATTCATTTATAACACGTCATTTGTAGAGCGGGAAGACCATCGTTGTAGAATGTATTACATGCTTGTACACATTTTTTTATATATATACGATGCAGAAATATTGAAAACCTGTAAAAATTTAAATACATTTTTTGTTGTACCACAGTTGTGAGATTAAAGGTTGTTTAACCTGCCCTGATTCACTGCCGTTAATGTTTAATTTTACTACTCAGGTGCCCTCACTGAACTTTTCAAACATCTGGCAGTTCATTAGTTCAAGTAAGCCTGAATGCTGATGAGATACTGAATGTTGTAACTGGTTCAAAGTATGCGCGTGTTGAACCAATGCTGTTGAAATTATGCACTCCCAGAGGCCTATGTGGCTGGATGTGTGAAAGATAGTTGTTGTTTTACGTGGAGGGATAGATATGCATAGGGTCACTTGGATTGGAAGTCATAACCTCACATTGGATGCATACTTCACAGGGATATTGGTATAGTGTGTTTGCTCGCAAAGTAAAACGACATTCACATTGTCATCATCACCTAGAATGCACAATTCACAAGTCTCAATGTGTGAAAGTGGAAAATTCCCAAAATGAAGTGATGGGGATTTTTATTGTTTTTAACCTAGCTGGGACTCTGATTCAACACTGTGGTGTGTGCCTACAGTCTAGCCAATGATAGTATCTTTTAAAGTTTTCTTAAACAAGAAATCTGGACTTGTACAATTTATAATCGTTAAGTACCGACACCACACCCTTCCCCCTGTTTTGTAAAAAAAAACATTGCAGGACATGTTTGGACTGTTCAGACCAGGATGCAAAAGGTCCTGTATCTAATGATTGTGTGATGTGACTGTCTAGAACATCGCTGGCCAACTCCGCTTGACTTCACCCACCCTCACAGGGGGGGGGGGGGGCGGGGGGTCCTTGTGCAAATCTATTCATCGGGTAGGTTTCAGCTCTGTGAATAAAACGTGTTGACATCGGGAACAGATTTACTGGAAGGCATTCGCCCCTGGCCCTCGTTTTGGCTGTGCGAGCCCGGAGTGGCTCTCTTGTGTTCAGCGCTGTAATGGGATGTGAAGTCTGATGCCCCAGAGTCGAGTTAGCACACAATTGTATACTCACATTGCCCCGTGGCAATTGTAACGCGCGCACACAGCGCAGGCTGCTTCAGCCCCGATGGATGTTAGCTGCCCCATTCCTTTTGTTACCTGCAAAGTCCGGCTGCGGTGTTTGTGTTAGTTAGGTATAAACCTTCTTTTATCCTATGTAACAATATAATAAAGTGTAGTGTAAATATGCATGCACATGCAGTGTAAGCGGGCTGAAGGTAATGGACAGAGTGAGAATGCATATCAAGAACTGGATGAAATTACACACCAACCTACAGCGGTGAGCATTAAAGCAGGTACGTACACCGAGAGCAGGCCAAGCAAGCGTTTGAACCTCTCAATATTTCCACCTCGTTGTTGGCGAGTTATTTTGGGACCGCTTTCACAGCTATTTGGCTAATAACTTTGATGCCAGCTCACACAGGTGTTTTAAATGTGCACCGCCACCATCCCGTGAATTTAATTAAAAGTTGGCAAACGGTTTGAACCATCACACCTCGTTTTCGTCAGGTTTGCTGGTGCGAATAGTCACACGGAAAGTAGAGCAGCCTCAGTCCTTGCTTTTTTTCACTTGGGTGTCTGTTTGCCAAAACTTAGCTCAAAGGAGATGCTGTACTGTATGCATATTCTGCACGTGGACTAAACTTAGACCCTTGCCCACACTTTCCATTCCTAAGCGAGGTTTCCATGGCTCTGTGGGCCGTGTTTACCCCATTGTTATCCCACCGTAAGAAGCTGCCATGGTTTTGAGGCCTGTCAGAAACAATACCCACGCGGAGAAAAATCTGTACACTTTCCGTGCCAAAAAAGGATAAGTCCCCACTGATTCATAAAATCTCATGGCTGGAGAAAGTTCCCTGAAAATGTTTCTGTTTAAATGTGAGCTTAATGCAAAGCCCTCTCAAGGGTGGCCTGCTTCAGGAGGCTCTGCTGGGAGACCTGGATGCAGGCTCTCTTTCCGGCTCACAGCGAAGGCTATAAAAGACTCGGGCTGTGTTCTTGTATTTATCTTGCATCGTTTTACGGGGGTATTCCCATGAGGACGATGATGCTCTAGCTGTGTTACTATTAAAGTGGGCTCAGGCAAGGAACAGTGTTCCCATTCGCATGGCGAGCGATGCTTCACTCATTGTACTTGTTCACCATTACAAAGACAATGAACATTGTTGGTCAAATATAGATTATATCCTGTTTCTGCACGTAATTCTCGACTGATTTTTTTTCCATTGGACAGTTTTATTCTTGTGTATAAATTATACGTAGTTTTTTTTATTTTATTTAGTAAAAGCCAGCTCATTAACTATTCTCTCGTTCATAATCTCAGGAACATCTTCAACAGTCACTAGTTTAACCGTTCGTCACTTGAATGTGGTTATAATTTGGAATTGGCATTACCTAAACCACCAACGTGAGCCTCATGAGTACGGAATTAACAGCCTCCTCTGGTGAGCAATTTTACTGACAAATTTGGGAAGGTTTTCTAGGGTCTTTGGTCCTGGGTTCTTCATCCTCGCATGCAGTGGAGGCCGCTGGAGAACTACAACCTGGACAATTATTGAGTAACTTATTTGATAAATAACTCAGACCCAATATAGTCATCCCGACGACGTTGGTACAAGGACAGACACAGCTTGGCTGAGTATCTTAAAGAGTAGTAATTACAGACATTGTAGGCCCAGCTATTGTCACAGCAAAATGCTGTTGATGCCACCACATCTCACCATCACTGCCTTCTGTTAAAATCTGAAGCCATTGCAAAGTTGGTACCTGACCACCATAAATTGATATTAATTCGGTGGCTAATGTCTAAATAATAAGACGTATGGTCAGAAGTTGTAACTTTTACACATTAAGCAGGTACACATTCCATATTGACCCTTCATTGTATTCCTCAGCAAGGCAAAATATTCAACTTAAAATACAAGAGCACCTGGTGATGCCATTAACAGCTAATAACGCATTTCATGTACACATACGTATTTTCCTTACTTAAGAACAACACTGTTTTCCGCCTATACGGAGTAGGATGTTTTTGTTGAAAATACCGGAGCGTTCATGTAACCGCCCCTCTTTGGAGAGCACACAACTGTTGTTACGTGTTGGGAAAGTTGCCTATGCTAAGAACAGCTAGCTGCTCCAGAGCCCCATGGTTGTTATTAATCTTGGGGTGTGTGTGTTTTTTTTCGTGTTACGTTTTTGCACGAGGTATTGGGGAGCAGCTGGAGAGCGACGGAATTTCCCATGAATGTAACTTTCTGGAAAAGGGCTGCCATCCGGCCCAGCGAGAGTGAGAGAGAGGATTGGTGGGGCAGAGGTTGGTGGGGGGGGGGGGTGGTGGAGGGTTGGGGAGCGGTGCGTGTTTTCGGCCCCGAGTCCAGGCTCACCGTTATATTCCCCGCAGACTCAACCTCCCTTAAGTGCGGTACCCACCCACCCACCGCCTCCACAGCCATACCTCCCCTAGTACACGTACACATCCCCCCACGGCCTTCCCTCCCCCGCATTTCACATGCGGTCGGCATTGGAGCCTCTGCCAGGTGGAGCGTGGTACCAAGGGGGACCTAATTGAAACCCGATGGCGGTGGCGGCGGTGAGGTGCCCGCGTGGCTGAGAGCAGCTGGAAATTGCTCACAGGAAGTCTTGCAGACCCGTTCTCACGTTCTGTCTGCTCCCTCGCTGAAGGCACCGGGCACATGCATGCGTTGCTCATCCGCCCTTCTTCGGCACCGCAAAGCGGAATTGCTCCACGGTGGTGACCGTTGATTTTTCCCGCTCTGCGTCGACCGCCGCTGGTGAATGGGGAGTTTGGACAGCAAGGAAAAAAAATGCGTGAAATATCAGGGCAATGCAATTAAAACAAAACGATGCGCTTTTGTCGTTCGTTCACGGGGCCCTGTGTGAATTATCATTCCTATCGGTGATTCATTTTCAGTATTGGTTGTCACGTGGGGTGACTGCCACTTGCTGGCTTTGGGATATCAATGGAGATGAGTGATGCGTGTGTGCTTTTATATGCTCTTTAACATTTAAGACATACGTTTTCAATGACTCACTTGAAAACCGTCTAAGTTTGCGTGCAGATGTGTACTCGGAACCTAACATTTACGGCGTGTAGTCGTAAAAAAATGGACAGTACCTTTTTTTGTGTCCATGAGGAGGTCGTGTTTTGATCTTCAAACACCGCACGCAAGCTCCTGCGGATGAATGACAAGAAACATAAACTCGTAAACGCGCATAAATGCGTACGCGCGCCGCGCGCACTTTCTTCACACAAGCGCTTCCACTCGATTCACATCGTCTCCTTGCATTGCAATTAAGACTTGTGGTACGTTCTGTTAGCTCGAGCACCCAGTGCAGCTCTTAGAAATGCAGGTAAAGTAGGCTGATGAATCCATCTTCTGTTACCACGGCTGAGGCTGCTGTCACTTGATACCTATTACACTTGATACCTATTACACTTGATACCTATTACACTTGATACCTATTACACTTGATACCCACGGTATGTTTTTTTACTGGGCTAACCTAATAGAGTGCCCATGTGCCCGTGCCAGGTACTGGTGCTGTTATTCTAAATGGGCGCACATAGCCAGCATCAGCCCTCGTAAAGTAACGTAAATAAGTTGATGGACCATCCCCAGCATATACTCCCCAACACACACACACACACTTTTAAATACACTATGTATACACACGTGTACAAAAGCCCATATACAGTACACGTTTACCAAATCCGGTGGGAAATCATGATTGCGCTCCCGCAATCCCGTAAACTGCCTGTTGGCTTATCTCATCCCAGATGGCAAATCACCAGACGTTTTGGCCGGTACTGTACCCTTTCAGATATGTAAGTGTCCGGGGAACGCACGCTATAAAGTTACTAATAACCAGACGGAAGGTGAGGGTTGTGTGTGTGTGTGGGGTGGAAGAGGCTGTTTGAGGCAGACCCAATGGCTGTGACCAAGCCAACAACCGGTGCCTAATTCGACTGGCTCCCCGATTCACGGGCACACAACAACAACAACAGCAGCAACACACACACACTCACACGCGCAAGCTGTGAAGCGCGTTCACCCGGGTGGCCGTGCGCCACTCGTCACGTTTCCCGGAAACCGGTCGGGTCATTTCTTTCACGGGAAAGAGGTGATTGCGGGTGCCATCGCGGATCCCTTACCTTGTGGGGGGGGGGGGGGGGTTGGAAAGCACGGTGGGAAAGCGAGTTTGTGACGGTTTGTGTGTTGTGTGTGTTTTTTAAATTCATACCTTGAACATTTATCGGGAGCGAAACTCCCGGAGCCGCCAAAGGGGGGGGTTTGAGGAAGGGTGGTTGAGATGCTGGGTCTGGAGGGGGGGGGGTGCTAGGTTTGTGTTATAGTGCAGGAATGTGAGTGGGTGGTGCCGAAAGTGTAGGGGGTGGCTTCGTGTTCTTGAACGCTGTATTAATAGAGCGAGCCTCGGTGCCTAGCTCACGTTATTTCAACTTGCCGATGGACCTCACAGAGATTCGCGCCTCCCTCGCTTAGCTCACGCGTTCACAATGCTGTGTCTGATCTCCGAGAAGCTTGGGATTCAGAGAGAAATGCTGAAATGTTCAGGTAACGGACAGTTTCTCTCCCTCTACGTTTGCTTCCAGTTTAATTAACGGCGTTTACTTTATTTTTTTGGGCGGTGGGACTTCAAATTAGCTGTTTTCCCTTGAGTGCGTTTGGGTTTTTTTTTTCCTGGTGTGTTTCTGCCTTAGCTGGAAGTCTGTCACAACTCCAGCAGGGGTGTCCGTATATGGCTATAAGATGATCAGCGTGATAGGCATTGAGAACTGACACACGCACAGAGTTGTTATCTTTTTTTCTCTTCTAAAGTTCAGCCTAGGAGTCGTCATGGCCGAGACTGCATTGATGCTCTGTTGTATAATTCACTTCTAGCACTTAACTCTGCCAAAAGGTTTAGTATTTTAATGGAAATGCATTGAGTTTAATTGAAAGAGTAATTTAAACTCTAGACCCTCTATCGTTTTTACGTCACCGTTACAATTATAGTTTATATATAGGGCTTAAGGGGAATGTGTCGATGTTAGAAGTCGCCCCCACACGGACGTTCTGAACATGCTGATATGTGAGCAGGATGTACTGACAAAGGAAACACCTCCTTGGAGGAAATAGCACAGTCCGCATTTAAGACTCTACACCTGTGCCTATTTATGAGGGGTGTTTTTTTGGCAAATGCCAATGTGGCTCATTTGTCGGCTTTGGTTTTTATTTATAGAACTGTTTTGTCATCTTCACTCTCCAAAACACTTTTGTACTGTGCTATGACAATTGAAATTATGAATATTGCGGACAATATTGCATTAGGTGTGGCTGTATCCTGTTTCATTTAATGTTTTGTTGATTTGTGTCTAAGGCTTTGTGCCAAAAATATCAATATTTTGTTTATTTATAGATACCTTACTAAAATGCCAGGGAGATATTACAGAGAAAATACAATTTAATTTCATAGACCTCGGCAAGTCTCCCACCAATCTCAATAAACTGAATGCGTCTTTTAACACTCTCCTTTCAAAGATAGGGAGCCATTGCTTTCGCAATACTGATTCAATCGGTGTTGGGAAGAAAGTTAGAGGGTCTATAGAAATCAGCGAGGTGTCTGTAAATGGATCAACATGAAAAATAATATATTTCGTGATATCATTTGATAAAAAGTCATTGTGATGGTGCATTCCTGTGATGCAGTCTTTTGGAGGAAATGGATAGTGGCTCATGCAGATTTCTGAAATTCCCAAATCCACTTAGCAGTACAGCAAATCGACTATTGAATAGTGTACTGTAGAACTGTTTTGAAATTTGAGTGTTATCTCCTGGTAAGGCAAACAGTGAGTAATGGAATTGCCTTAAACATCCCAATACTAGATCCTCCTGGAAATTAATCTTGAGGCTTAATCTTTATCTGTTATTTCAATCATAAATTGTGGAATAAAACAGCAATGGATTGCCTTTGGTCTATTCGCACTCATCAGTAAACCACGCTTGGTTACATTATTTACTGTGTAATAAATGATAATGTACATATTTTTGTCACACCACTGGATGGATAAAACTGTCATCATTTTGTGTCGATTGTGGGGGTTATTTGGCTATACTTCTGCATGGTGGTGAATGAGCCTTCATGAAGGGGGGCCAGGACCATTTCACGTATCACGGCCGCGGGAATTGAACTCAGGTGACCTGGTGAATAGCTCAGCACGCAAACCACTCCACTGCTACTCCATCATTGGGGTTGCCATTTTCTACCCAGACCAAACCTGCACGTATTTTTCTCAGTCTATCAAAAATGTGCATTCAACTGTAAATAAATTTCAACACAATTCCACCAGATCTCGGTACAAATTCCTGCCACCCAAACCCAGATGCCATTTCCTGGACTGTCTGGGTCAAATCTAGATAGTTGGAAACTCCAGCTCCACCCACCTACCATTTAACTGTGAATATAGGACGAAATATACATCATGCAAAGAAGCTGTACATTTTATGATACAGCGGTAATATTGTTTTGAAACCAGCTGTGTTTCAACTGCATCAGTAATTAGTGCTCACATTTGTTCACTCTTAGGCCATAGGCCATAAAGAGGCTTCTTGAATCCCTAAACACATTAATCAGGCACAGGAAGGAAAAGTACATTAAATGACAAAGGAGGAGCTGTGATTTGTTCCTCCCACCATTGCTTCTGGATTGTAGCACTCGTGACTTTGGGAGGGTCGTACTGGGGAGTGGCTGGGCAGGAAAGGTAGAGCAGATATCTCCTCCTGGCTTGCAGGTGGCTGGGAAGTGGATGCTTACACTTGCATGACCAACTGCAACCCAGCGGGTGGGGGCTCATTTCCGTCACAAAAGCAAGAGGAGGTCTCCTTGCTCCCCTGAGCCCTTTGTTTAGTTCCAGCTGGGCAGCACCTGGCACAGGTATGTGTATCGGGGCAGGCATGCAGGTTTGATGGGGGTCAGGGAAGCACCTTGCTGAGACTTTGTTGCGGAACATTAATCAGCTCCCGCTTGCCTGCTATATTGCTTTCACGTGTCGCAGGACTTTTCCTAACGAGCTACCAATTCACAGAGTCCCACCGAAATGTTTTAAGTTAGCCACACTCCTTTATATGTACGGTGAGCGAGTGCAGTGTTTAGTTTCACTCATGCAATAACGGTTTAAGGTTCTGAAGCTTTGCGCAATCTACGTCATGCGCAACACGTACACGCTGACTCACACACAAAGTGATTAAACTTGTGAGTTATCGAAGCCTGACAAGAAAAAAAAGCAACACGCATATGACTTGGCATTACGCTTGCATGCCTTTCTTGGTACAGCTCATTTGGTGAGTCTTCATTATGTGTCGTGGGGTGAATACCTTTTAAATTTTCTATGAGTCACATTTTGAGTTTTGACCTTTTATAACGAGTAAAGGTTAGAGGGCAAAAGGTGCGAGGGTCTGAAAAGCGACTGGTCAGCCGGTTTTGCCAAATGAGCTCCATCTGCTGCTCTTATAATTGTTGATACAATTAAACAACAAAATAGAAACAAAATTCTCCAAACAATCTATTCATAATTTATATTTCAAGACCTATCTTCTCAAAAGTCTCGCTTTGCTCTTAGCTACCGAATTTTAAGTGATTACATATACAAACGCCTGTCCTTTTTGTGTATATACTATCTTTTCTGTGGTATTTCCTGCTGGCGACTTAAGTTAAATAAAACAAAATTATGTCCTTTTTTTAAATGTCCCCGATAGTGCTTGACAAGCGGCAAGGCCACAGAGAATGTGGGGCAATTGGCAGTTGTCTTGGGACCCAGCTGTTTCAGGGTCCCAAGGGGAGAACGTATTTGGTGCCTGAGGGTGCACAAAGGGGGTAGGGACAGCTTGTAGCCCGGGGTGGAGGTGATGGGCCGACGGGGGCCTACATCTGGATAATTGTATCCCATGCTCAGATTTTTTGCCTGCTTTCCCCTTTATATGACAACATTTCACGATGTTTTTACACGCGTGAATTCACGTTACCCTGTATACAGGACATGGAATTACCCACATGCACGTCCACAGAGTGGTGTTAAAGATAACGGCAAAGTTGCAGCCCTGCACTTGCTTTCTCTTGCCACTGCTGGTGGAAAGTCTTCCACTAGAGGGAGCTCTAGAGAGCACCTCTACAGGGTAATTTGGCCTACTCTTCCACGCTGGCCACACATCTTGGAAGAAGTGGGCGTAGCCACACTTTACTCCACACACACGCAACCTGCCAATCCACTGTGGTCGACTACTGTACTTGCATAAACATTCCTGATGAGAGGACTATCTCAACGTTTCAGCCTACCTGCCATATTCGGGAAGTATTGAAGTGTACATAGATAATATTAAATAGTATTGGTGGGTGAAGTTGGGTGGTGTCAGATGATGAACTCACCATTGCTGATGAGTCACTTTACCCAATTGAGTCCATCATCTGACTCAACCCATCACTCAACTTCACCCATCATGAATATTTGCGACTCTCAATGTAAACCTCAATATTCCCTGAAGAAGGCAAGTTAGCCAAACATTGAGTATATCCTTTCCTGTCAGTGACAGTATATAAAAAAAAACTGTTAATTTTTAATAAACCTGTTATTTTGTGCATGTTGACTGCTCATTCTCGTCGGGACACAATTCCCCCACACTGGACCTACACTGGATTCCAATTGAGCTCTGTGCATGTTTAAAATTACTATGCTGCTTAATTCACAAAGCACTCTGCCAGCAAGTGCCTCAATATTTGACCGACAAACCGCAGCTTTGCAATCCCTGCTCGAGGAGTTGGAGGTCCTCACATGCAGCGACCATGCTCCTCCGCCAGCCACGCTTTCGTCAGAAACATTTCAGAGCTCGGTCTTCGTCGCTCTCTGGCCCTTGGATTTGGAACGCCCCGCCTGAAGAACTGTGCCTGACCGCTGACATTCTCCCATTTATAACGCAACTAAAAACCTACCCATTTTCTACGATATAAACTAGATATTGAATTTTCTTTCTTTCTGTACTGCACTCTGAATCCCTGAGTTGGGCGTGTTGCACCTTCTAAAAAAACGTAAAATACTAATAATAACTCTGTACAGTTTTAATTTGCGGTCAAACACAGCGCTAAATTGGAGCCGATCAGCTATCACAGGGGAGGTTAATGCGCGTATTCCAGCATGCCGTGGGGCTATGTGGAAGTCCTGAACGGGTGGACCTCTCATGGTGGAGTGGGACGCCATCAGCCTTGAGGCCCCCTGTTACACGCGCTATGAAACGGCGCTCGTATTTTTGAGAGGGCTCGGCCCTCCCACTTG